CTTGGGGCAACAGCGCGGAGAGGGGGCGGGCGGGTGGGGGCAGAGGGCCGAACCGGCGGGGGTACTCACACATCAGGAGTGGACGGGACCCCCCTCTGCGGCCGCCGGCCGGGACTCCAGCATCTTCCGAGGGAGCGCGGGCGAGCGGGTGCCCAGCAGACGCCGCCTCCGGGAGGGACGCGGGGCCGGCGGCGGGGCGGGGTGGGCCGCCGCTGGGGGCATCAGCGGTGGCAGCGGTGGCGGCTGTCAGTGCGCCCGCGGTTTGAATTTGAGAGGCTCCACCGGCTCCCCGGACGGGGCTGGGCTGACGTCACGGGGCGGGCCGGGGGCGGGGCCAGGCGGCGGTTGGGGGTGGGGTGCGGCGGCTGCGCTGCTCCCACCTGCGCCCCCGCAGGGGCCCGAGGGTGCGGGTCGTGTGGGGAGGGGGTGAGCCCTGGCTGCCTGGTGTGGGGTGGTGTGCCCACAGTGTGTCCGCGTGTGAATGCGTGTGTGCATGCACACGTGTGGGTGTGCAGGTGTGTGTGCAAGAGTGTGCGCCAAGTGCCCCTCGGCTCCAGCTTCCAAACCCCAAAGCTCGGTGCGGGGCTGCGTGCTCGGTCACCCCGGGGAGGACGACCAGGGGCTACTGAGGACTCGGCTCAGGAGCGTGGCTTTCCGGGTAGTGACCGACCCAACAGCTAGCTCCCTGCACCCAGCAAGCGGGCTCCCTGGAGCTCCCAGACAGAGATAAACATAAGCCGAACCCTTCTCCCCGCGAGGTTTATACTTAGCCGGATAATGAGGTCGGAACGTGTGCTTTTAGCCTGGAGGAAGGAGGAGAGGAGTGGGTGTCAGAAAGGCAGCGGCAGACACAGCCGGGCCAACGGAGAGCCCGGAGCCGGGCAAGCGGGGGCGCGAGGCCTGGCCTCAGGCCCGTGGACCCGGGCTCCCCTCGCGCTCTGCTCAGGTGTGCATGTCACTGCTGTCTGGATCGCCTTTCTCTCACTTGGCAGAAGAGAGGGATTGGACTCTGTGGGCCCTGCAAGCGCTGACAGTCTAGAACGAGTCATAGAAGGGTCAAGTATTTGGTCTCGCCTTCATTCTTGCCCGTCTCCATAATTAGCTGAGAATCCCAGGGACCCCAGAGGTTCCCAATGTGCGGGCCGTTTGTGAGAAAGTGGCCTTGGAGATGAGGCAGGGACCTCAATTCTGGGCGGAGAGGATGACGGCCGACAACTACCCTGGCAAGATAGGTCCTTTGAGATGGGAAACGCCTTGTCTCTCACTTCTGCCCTGTTAGGTCCATATTCTGCCTAGGACTGCTCAGCTCGTGTCTTTCTCTCCCAAGGAGGGCTCAAGGTAATTCTAAACTGAGGCACAGGGCAAGCTGGGGTCTCCCCTCCCCTTGGGCTTGGGCTTCATCCCTTCCCCCTCTCTGCTTCTGGGAAGAGCCTTGCACCAGCCGTCAGGAGCTGGGTCTTGGTTCTCTAATAGTGTTTTCTCCAGCACAACTTTGATTGCTCAATTGAGGGAAGGCTCGCTGGATGGAAGGGAGAACTTTTTCTCTGGAGGGCTCTAGGGAAAGGTCCCTTCTCATCTCTGCAGCTTCCTTGCTCCTCTAGACTTGGCATCTGTCGTCCCTCAAATCTGCCCTGCTCCCTCTTTTTAGTCTCTGCGCTATTTTGGAAGAGTTGCTGTGAGTGGACTCTTAGCACCTTACAACAAAAGCTGTCTCAGAAAATCTGCCTCATCAGCATAACAAAAACAGCCCACTCCCAACTGGGACCATTCACCTCCAGTATAGAGGTTGGGATTTACAGCTTATTGGGGGGTACACAAATTTTGATTGATAAAAAGTTCCCTCCCGCTTGTGCCTTGAGCTGCTTTTGGACAAATATCTCTTCCTTTAAGGCCTCTATGTCAGAGTTGCAATGTCCCCCTGATCTATGGCGGTCACATCAGGAGACTCAAGCACAGTGGGGCCTCCTTTCAACATACTTCCCATTAGCTAATCCTCATGGTTCCTAGAGAGACATGGCTTTTTCATTCAACAAACACTCCTTAATTAGGCGAAAATTTAACTGCCATGGGAGCCTGTGAGACAGAGCTGGACAAGAGGAGAGAATTCAGGTTCTTTTTAGGAGGGGTTCACCTCACTGAGCAAGTGTTAGCTTGCTTCGGTGGGGAAGGCACTATTAGATTGGGAACACATCAGCAACTTCCCAGCCCTGGTGGCTCCCTCCTTAAAACACTGGGCAGCAAATGCAAGGGTAGCCATTTGAGAACCCACCAGCTGGCTGGTGGGGGCAGCCTGCTTCCTAAATGATTTCCAGCTTCGGACACCCTGGGGGCAGCTCCAGTGTGTCCTGCAGTGGCTGGGGCCTGGCGGCCTGGGTCTGGGCTCCATATGCTCCACACAACTATGGGTCTAAAGGCCCATTGGGTGGTGGTGGTTTACCTTTTTTTCCTTTTCATATTGTAGTTGAAAGTGAAATATCAAACGGTTGTTGTAGTTCCTCAATGCAGTAATTTCCTTCAGGACAGTCTATTTTGTAGAGCATTTCAGAGGGAGAAAGACAGAGGTTGGGTGGGTGGGTTGCAGGCTCCTGGAGACAAGGGAACACTATCTGGCTGGGAGCCACGGGGACCGTGGGGTGCTGTGGCTGGCCTCCTGCCCTGGTTAGCGTTCTGCGTGGGTCGGTCACCCTTCACCACTCCTGTCCCCAGCTGTCCCCGAGCTGCCGCTGCCGCTTTCGGGAGCACAGTTCCCGTGAACTCCCTGGCCTGCACTTTCCGTAAGTTTCCTTGGCCGGGCGCCTGGGTGGAGCAAGTGGCAGAGGCACGGGAGCCCTGGGGCTGAGGGACACTGCCCCCCGCCTGGAGGCGCGGTGCCGCATCGCCTCAGCCACGCTGGCACCCAGCCGAGTGGTACCTGGGGTGGGTTGCCTGGGCTGCGCTGTCCCCCGTCCACCTCCGGCCATCCCGTGGGATGCGCCGCCCTGGACGAGAGCACAAGTCCCTGCCCCCCCCTGAGCGGCCCTTGCCTCTCCAGGCGCGGCTGCGAAGGCCACTCGCGCCCCTCCCCGAGCTGTCCCGCCTGTCCAGAGCGCGTGGGGAGCGGGGACTTACCGAGCGCGCCGCCTGATCTTCCCTGGAGGCGCCACAGCATCTGCCACGAGCGAGCGCAGGGGCCAGGGGCGGGCGGGTCCCGGAGGAGCTGTCGCCTCCTGGTCGCTTCAGGCTGTTTGCGGCCTCGCTGCCTGGACTGTCACTCCTCCGCCGCTCCAGAGGTCGCCAGGCTGGGGACGCACCAGCCCCCGGAGCCGCTGCTGTTCGGGGACTCGGTCCCTGTGCCGGGAATGCTGCCCCGCACTGCCGGCGGCCGGCGGGCACCGATACCTAGGGGAGCCTTTGGCCACCGCTGCCAGATTCCGAAGAGGCCCGGGGCCCGCAGCCGCCGCCTCCCGGACAGCAGGCGCCCAATCAGGGGAGTTCGCAGGCGGCTGTTGAGGGACCACCTACGAGGCTGGTAAACAGGGAATTTCCATACAATACAGCGCTGTGCTAATATGTCACCCAGGCTCGCGCGCCCGCCAGTCTATTAATGCAGATTCTTTTGATGCTTCACAATCGGGCTCGGACCTACTACTGCGGACCCCCTTAGTTTCTTTTTCTCCTGCTCAGGTGGCTGACATTTGAGACCAGGGAAAGTAGCGCAGGCGGGAGGGACCAGGAGTATCTGAGCAAGTTGCAGTTTGCTGGGCCTCAGCAGGGAGTAGGGAGTTCTCCGACACACTGGGATGTACCCTGCCGCCCCCCTCCCCAAGTCCAGAAGGAATAAATACAGCCTTAATGCAAATAAAACCCGGCCCTGGCCCCTTTTCACACCCCTACTGAGCCTGTGACAACCCCAATTCTTGCAAGCATCCGGGAGATGGAGGTGGGGAGCAGAGAGGGAGGGAGGGAGGGGGTGTGTGTGTGTGTGTGTGTGTGTGTGTGTGTGTGTAGGGAGGGACCGATTTAGAGGCAGGCTGAGCAGGGCGTTAACTGGTCTGTGCGGAGATGGGTGCTTGGCGCTCTCAAGGTTATTTTCTGGAGACCTTGGAGCCAGGCTCTCGCACGGGCGGTCACTTCCGCCTCGCTCCTTTCTTCACCCCGGAGCATCTGGGCTGCTTCCTCCAGCTCCTTGGTTTTCTTTACATAATGGGTTTCTAATGAGACCATGTTGGGCCTTCTTTTATTTAAAGGGGGGGAAAAAAAGCAAATTCGTGATAATCTTCGATTAAGAACACGTGTAGAGTTTAGTAACAGTCCAAAGAATGATCTCTTATAATCCCATCTCTGGGGTTTTAAGCTCATTGCTGTTCCTTTTACTGACAGCACCTTTTGGCCATTTCCCTGCCAGTCAGCTAAGCAGCTTCAGAATAGCATCATTTTCACATATGCACGCCGGCAGGCTATTTACAGTTGCAGGTCTGGAAACACGGGCTTCTTTATTCGTATCCTTATTTCGGTAAAGCAGCCAGTGCAGGCTGGCCACCCACTGTAGCTGGGTACATGCTAATATTACTAACCCAGGGCACTTAATTCCACTTCCTTCTCCCTCTTCGCCTCATGTCTGACCTTGTCATCTGCCCATGCAGTCCTGTACAGGGCATTATAAACAACCACAAAGTCCAGAGCTC